TAAATGTTTGCTAGAGTTTTTTCCATCTCTGTAGGAAGAAAACTTGGCATCAAACTACCAAAAACGTCTGTGTGTTTGACATATGCTTGCTTAAACACAAGGCCTTAATATTTCCTCAAGTGACTTTTGCTTTCATTTCAAAGTACTTGGCTACAAGCAGTATATGAAGAACATCACATGGGTTTATTTTTCAGTTCGTCCTATAGATTCCAGTATAGTTTTGTGAATATTTTCCCCTGTCTGTCTGAAACGTCATGCTCTACAAACACGAGGAAGAAACAGAACGTGTCTTGCCAAGCTGTAGAATTTCTTTTCTGTGTTTATATTTTTGCCTGCAAATATGGTTGAGTCCTGATGTTGCCATTGGAAAATACGATGCTCTGCAGTCATCTCTGTACTTGTCCATATGATTTAATGGCAACGATTACTTTATTGATGAGAACTTACTGCATTGATTTGCCAAGCTGCTTCCCTAGTATAATCCAGTTTGAACAGTTGCCTTGACTTTGAAGGCATCTGATGTCAAAGAAAATAGATGTATTTATGTTGAGTGTCACGTTTCTGTGTGGGATTAGCTTCCTTTTCTAGGTATTCCTCTTTCTCTTTCACACCAGTTGAATCCCACATTTTGTTGCAGAAAGCTGTTCTGGCATGTGTTTGTGGGTATGCCCGCCTGCTGTCTCCCTGTGTTGTCCTGTGACTTGGCCTCCTGGCTTCTCTCCCCTCTTTGTGCTTGGGTTTCTGTGTGTTTGTTTTCTAATCAAAAGGAGTTTTGGCTTTTGCTCCGCAATGAGTTTGAAAATACCCTCTTAAAATGACTGTGTATCAGTAGAAGTTGGCTTCGCTTTACAAGTAGGTGCCTCTGTACTCATGGAGAGTAAAATAGTATTAAATTATAGCTCTTCATTCTGCAGTTGATGGAAGAGAGAGTTATGTGTGCTGCTACGAGTGGACTGGCAGCCCTGTTCTCTGGCTGTTTTCAAAGATTTGTGGCCTGGTCTTGGGAATTGGTACCCAGTTCTGTCCATCTGTCTGGCCTTCGTTCAGTGATGGTTTAAACAAGCTTTGTTGTTGTTCTAGTTTGTGTGTGTGTGAATGTCTTTTGTTTTCTTTTTTGAGGTGATTTATGTCTGTAGTGAAATTCTATGGGTTTAATGCTAGTGAAAAAAGGACAAGAAACTTTTCAAAGGTGAGCAGTATGACAACATTGAATCATCTTAGAATCATGGCGAGTTCTGTCGGTGAGATGTCTCACTACCAGGTTTTATGAAAAGTTCTGAAATTTTGATTTTCATCTTTGCATCTCAAATGTCAGTGGTTTTAAAAACAGATTTTAAAATAGGAATTGTGGGTTAGAGAATGAAAAAGAGCACAGTGTGAGGACAGTAGCTGAATGCAAGCATCAGATACCTGAGGGCTTGACCCCCTAAAAGGGTTGTTATTCAGAAAGAAAATGATTTGGGCTTAGTTAAGAGAATTGCTCATGACACATTGAGATGAAGTTTGTTCTTGTTTAGTAGGTGGGGTGCAAGTCCACTGTCAGATCTGGAAAACTCGTTGTAGTCACATGTTTAACTGCAGAATTGCAAAATATTAGTCCAGTTCCAATAAGTGAAGGCCGTGAACTGGATTTTTCAAGAAATGATGAAGACACCTGCTATAGAACATAATATGGTAATGCACTGTAAAGCTTCTCACTCCAAGAACACAGCTTTACAGTGGATTTACATATTTTTTTCTTTATGGGACTCTTTAAATAGTTTCCGTTATTTGAGGTAGCATCTTGTAAACATGGGAAAATGATGTTTTATACAAACCAGATTGCTGCACTGCATTTAAAAGGATGCGATGATGCATTCTCTCTAAAAGGAGAGAAAGTATATTGGGTAGGGCTGTTCTAATAGGAAACGGGACACGGAGTCCTTTATGCTTTTAGTTAAAATGTCTTTCTAAATTGCAAAAGACAAAATCTGTTTCTGGAGAGAAAAGATGGCAGATAAAGGAATAGCTCTCTCAGTGTTACAAGGTGCTGCAAAAATGGTAAGTTCAGAACTTCTAAAGGAAACACCTTTAAATGTTCTCTTTTTTTTGCAGTGAATTTTGTCTCAGAAGGAAAAAATAGAATATTCTCACGCGTATCTAGCAAGATAGGTTGTTTTGAGGCTGGATGTTTGGATTCAATCCATCTCCTACAGCCTTGCAACACTCATGATTTAGTTTCCTTATACTTGATTCAACGGGCCTTAATTTTTAAAGCCTTTTGTCTAGATTGTCAACAGTACCTGTTGAGGTACTGCCATATTGTGCCACAGGAGCTGTGAAAGGGCGCTGGGAAGGAACAGAGTGGAGAAAATAACTTCTTCATTTAGGTGTAAACTGTATCCTAATGTATTAAATAGTCAAAATATCTTCACTAATGTCACAAATTTGAAGGAGACTTTTGATAGTTGATAGGAATATTTTTTGTCTTTAATTTGATATTGCTATCTCTATCTTCTTTTGTAGTTACTCCGCTACCAGTCAGGTATCAGTTTGGGAGTTTGCATCCTATAAACAACATTAAGCCCTAAATTTTCTTTATATAGTTCTCTAGAAAAGGCTCTTATCCAGAGGGGAAAAATAAAGCTGAGAACCCTCTCTGACAGTGTGCAGATCTGCAGTATCTCCGTGACAGAAGAGGGAGCAAGAATGAGCTGCAGACCCCAGTCTCTTAAATGCCCAGTTTAGGGTAGGTTTGGAGTAGAAATACGGGGGGTGCATTGGAGTGGCAGCAAAATGGGCAAATTCCTCTGCGCTGCCTGTAGCTGCAGCAGAGGGGAAGAGTAACAGGTCGGAATGGGAGGAGGCTGTTTTGGAAACTGTCCCAGCTGTGAACGTGAGCAGCAGTCTGCAAACCCAGCACAGCGAGCCTGAGTGTGATCCTGCCGTTGGGAGATCACCAGAAGGCTGCAGCATCTTCCCTGCAGAGAAGGGCACGGGCTGCGTTTGTCGCAGGCCTGCTCAGCCCAACTCCTTGAAAACTGCCTGCTTGGAGACATTTCTTGAGGCCGTGTGCGAAAGGAATCCACAGCGTTTGTTGGGAGTTATGAATTATAGCCATGAACCTTAAAAAAATAAGAATTAAGTGAGAGGGAAAAAAGCACTTTATCACATAACTATTTTAAACATTAAATATAAAATACAGATACATTTTAATTACCAGCATCAGATACAGTAATACAAAGAATGACTATCACTTAATAGGGTCTCTGAGAGAGGAGGAATTGCACATTTTATCTATAAACTAGTCAATCTTGGGTTGTTTTCAGCCCCGGGCTGCAATAAATCTACCTCAAACTAAACACAGACATGGTTGCAGAGGCCTCAACTGAAACCCTGGTCTTCTAGTAGATATTATTAGCAATCTCAGGAGATTGGTGCTTTATCTTGGAGACGACTCAGCTCTGTGCTAACCGCAGTCAGGTAGATGGGAGTTTTGCTCTGGGTGCTTTGTTGAGAGCCCCAGGCAAGCCAATTCCAGCTCATCATTAAGGAAAACGAGAGGTCTGAGCATCGGTAACACCCCGCTGTGCAGGGGAGGTTGGCTAGCAGTAAAGTCAGTAAATTCCCAGTGTTCCTCCTCGCTAGAGGTTATCACGCCGGGCTCAGCGTGTTCACCTGCCTTGAAAAGGAAGGGGAAGGGAGCTGGTAATATCGTCAGATCGTCTCTCAGTGAGGCTGGAGTGGGGTGTGAAGAACTTCACAGCAAAGTGAGAAAGTTAATAATAAACAAACACATTTGAGCACTTGTTAGCAAATAAAAAGTTATAAGTGTTGGAAGAACCAGAGCTTAATGCTACCAGTGATGTGGTGGAGCTGTGAGCCACTAGGGCATCATCACAGGGCAAGGCCTGGAGAACAGTGGAGGTGGCTAGAAGCAATTAAACAAGAGGACATAACTGATTAAAAACAGTGTTGTTTGTTCTTGTATGTGCCAGTTCCTGTTCCATCATTCTGAATGTTAGTTTTAAAGTTTCAAAGACAAGTTGGGGAGGGGACAAGAGCTGAAGAAAATGTATGGGAAGTTGAGGAGTTAGGACTGTTTACATGGAGGATACAGTTAATGTGACTATGAGGAAATGTAACAAAGGGAGGATGGTATCATGCATTATGTAAACGTGGGATGTTCTTTGAAATTGCTCCCATTACAAAAGCAAGAACCCCCGTACGAGGCAAGCAATTAAAAGCTAATCTCAAGCTCATCAGTAGCTTTAGAGGCTAAAAGATTATCAAGCAACTAAGAAAGATTCAGTACTGAAAATGTCAAAAGAGCCCTCCTTTTCTCAAAAAAAGAAAACAAAAATCAGTATCCCGAGTCTGCTTGTGCCCATGTTCAGATGCTTAGGCAAAGAGCAGCAAGGTTAGGTCAGGTGCATGATGCTCATTCACGCTTTTTGCTGTCTGCAGTTTAGGGACTTCATGAGCCATAGGCTGTATCCACGTGTTTGTGTTTAACAGTATCTGATGGATATTTCTTTTTTCCTATTCATGTGTTTTTGTGATCCCATTTACACCTTTGGCTTCCATGTTGTGGCAGCAAACCTCGGTCTAAATTGTGGTTTGTGTGCAGTAGCATTTCCCAGCCCAACTCGTGTGTAACACGGGGCAAACACCGTACCAGCTCACTCCGTAGGCAGAGATTGCAGCGGGCACTCGTCGGCTTTCCCTCGTAGTTGCAGTGTTGCAATGAGCACAGAGCAGAACGGTTTCCTGCGAGGCCCAAAGCATTGGCAGATCTCTCTCTCCTTCCTAGACTGACCGAGAGCAATGCAAGATAGTTTCCATCAAAGGCACAAGAAGGTTGGGGTTTTGTTTTTATTATTTTATTAAAAATAGCTCTTGGTTGCTGCTGCTTGGGCTATTTCGACTGTAAATCAAGGTTTTGCAGTAAGTAACGAATAGTCTAATCTTTACCCCTTAGTAAATAGTCTAATCTTTACCCCTTTGCTTGTCTTTTCTAGGAGAAGCTCTGCCTACCACATCACATCCTAGAAGAAAAGGGCTTGGTAAAAGTGAGCGTGACAGTTCAAGCATTACTAGATGTAACCACAGTGAAACAAGCTTTATTCACATGAGACTACTCCTTCTGCTGTAACCAGCTCCACTGTGCCATCAAAGAATCCAAACACTGCCCATCTTTTCAAACTGCATTGGAAAAAAGCGAAAAAACAGGCAGACTTCAAGAGTATTCCTGTACTTCTGGTGTTAAAATCGTCTTTCGGACTGTCAAGGCCCATCAGGCTACAAACCAGAATCCAAACGGGAACATTTTATAGAGCAAACGGGGGCTTCACTGCTTTTCTAGCTCACTTTGTACAGTACCTACTAAACCCACCACCTCTCTGCCATGTAAACTTGTGTGGAGTACAACTGTCTTGCAGCAAGATACTTCCATGTTATTGAATGAGGATCATTGTAATCACTGGGGAGAGGGGGGAGGAAGGAGAGTAAATCAGACTGCTGCCACATTAGGTTTTTCTGCAGTTGCTTCAGGCCCTTTTAAAAATACCCAGACATAAAATATTTATATAAATATTATTTATTAGTGAGTTGTTATTCATCCTTTGGATGCAAAATGTAAATTAGGAAACTGTATTTTATTACTGCTTTTTTGTGGTTAAACACTTTATTTTAATATAAATATTTAGTTATTTTTTATTCTACTTGGTGTGCAGTAGCTCTAGATCTCCGTAAACTGTATTTTCTAATATGTAAGATAAAAAGTAAAACAAAAATAGGTGCTTTTACTAAAGAACAGCTAGCTGGGATGACATTCTTTATTTTTGGATTTGTGGAACATTGGTAAGAATCTGTCTGCATTCCACTCTTGTTTCCTACATTCCAGTAGCACTTTCCCTCCCCTAGACTAAATTGGCTGAAAGTGAGAGCACACCCATTTTATTTGTATATAGGTGTTAAAGAGAAAAAAGAAAAAAAAAAAGAGGAGACGTAAACTTGAAAAGAAAAATAAATGTGAACAAATATTTTTGATTGATACTTACTTTACTATGCACAAGACATTAAACTTTTGCCACAACAAAATGAATGATGTGCATTAGGATCATGTGTCTTGAAATATGATTTTGCACTGTAACTTGATTTTCTTTAAGGACTACAGCACTACAGAACAAATAATGAAAATAAAACACAGTAAGAACATTGATGAGAAGGTAGCCAGAAAAATTGAATATTTTTCTTAAGTGATTCCTCCAAGAAGAGCTAAAATTACTAACCTGGGTCAAGGCTGCCTCAAAGACCTGACCTTCCAGCTCTGCCTGCTGGGCACAGTGCTGCTCCTTGTAGCCTCCATCATTCACGTGAGTGTAGCAGTTTCCCACTGAATTAAGCACAATGTTCTGTAGTGGATGTTTGCAGGATCACACCTCTCATCCCAAATCAGCAATGGGGAGGGGGGGGGAAGAGGGGGTTAGAAAAGCATGATTTACTGCAACACTCTCACGCATTTTGGATCCCTTTTTCTTTCACGGGAGAAGCGAGTGCTGTAACTTAGCGAAGGGGCCGGCAGGTTGCGCGCGGTGGAGGGCAGCGGCTGGGGGTGCACGTTGCAACGTGGGCACGTAGGGTCTGAAACGTGTTACGAGACAAGGGAGGCAGCGCGGGGGGAGATAAATAGCAAGGAACATGGAGAAAACAATTGTATAAAGACTGTTCTTTTAAAGAAAGCTGCATAATTGCCACTACTGCACATCTGGGCAGAGTCATACACGTGTTCGCACCGACACTGCTTTACAAACCCAATATTTCAACAGCAGGGTTTTGATCTTTAATACAGTATTTGAATGTGGACTATGTGTTTTAACATCACAAATTGCCGGTGTATCGAGAGCAACTTGTTAGGAGGAGCCAAGGAGACATAGGGTATGCGCAGGAAAACCAGTCACTTCAACCAAAGCAAAAGCTCTTGTTCTGTAGAGGGAACATTGACTTAAATTGTAATTTTTGATTGGCAGCTAATATATTGTTTCCTATAAAATGTACTGTGCACTTTAAACACTAAATTAAAATGTATTTTAATATTTTACAGAGCTGCACAAATATCTGTTTTGTCAAAAAGCACGAACAATGTAAAGAAAATACATTTTCAACTCAGAGTTTATCAAATTTTAAAAGCATTCAAAGATTAAGTATAAAAATAGGAATATTGATTTCTGCATCTTGAGGGATAAAATGCAGGTTTCCTAGTATTTTTTTACAATGTATATATGGCAACATGAAGCTTTGTAATTATTATTTTGACAAATCTTGTTTTTTCATAATTAAATTTTTTCCCTCCTGATATTGTCTTTCAGCAACTGCTTCAAGTTGGCTGTAAATAGCTCTAAATATTTTGTAATACAGCTTTTTTAATGCAGTCTTAACCTGTACCGCTAAAAAAAAAAAGAATCTTCATGAATCTTTGTACACTATTTATATGTGCAATAAAACATGCATGGCAAACCTATAATCCCATAAGCAGTGAACATAATGTATATAGAAAATATTTGCTGTAGTTACAATTAAACTATGCTATTTGTAGAAACCATTTACTGACTACCCCTGTGACTGACAGTTTGTTGTAGAAAAGAAAAAAAAAAAAAAGGCGTTTGGAGAGCTTGAATTTGTCAATGATGGAACAAGTATTTGGGCATGGAGGTAAAATTACCCTTATTTGTGAAATGGAGTTATCAGCTAACCCTGGAGCAGGTTGGGTTGGCTGGTTGGAAAGCTGCTGGGGTTCTCTGACAGGACTGGGTTTTATACCCTCCAAGCTGAAGGCGACAGACCCAGGAGGGCTATTTTTGCTGCTCCATGTGCTCACCACCCTCACAGAACTTCCCTAGCACATCTGAATGCCTTCTCCAGGCTCAGGGGAGAGGAATTGAAATTCCTGCCAACGAGCTTCCTCCTTGACTGCTCCTCTTGCTTGAAATCTCCAGCCTGGCATGTAGAAAGCAGCAGTGGTCGAATTAACTGCCCAGGGCTTCCACGGGTAGGAGACCAACAGGCTTGGCCTCGTCCTGGCAGCTGCACTCACACGTGCTCTGCCCCTGCCCCTCTGTGGGGCTGTTTTGAAGCACGTTGAAAAAGCAGGAGAAAGGAGGCTCCATCTTCAGTTTTCTGCTTTTCCAGAGCGGTTTTGCCATCTCACACGGCTGTAGCATCAGGGGGTTCCACTTTTGCTTCCCACCCCAGTGTGCAGCTTTTTTCCCCCTGTGCTCTTTTTGAAAGGTGAAGTTTAGTCACCAGGCTCTTCCCATGAACAACCTGGTAGTTTCTCACAAGAAAGAAAAGTTCTTCCTCACAAGGAGATGGGCACATCTTGTGTTTCAACTTGCACCCATCACCCCTTGTCCTGTCCCTGGCCACCACTGAGAAGAGTTTGGCTTCCATCATCTTTACATCCTCCCCTCAGGTACTTAATACATATTGATCAGATTTTGTCCTTTTACTTCTCTATATAGGTGAGTTTTAGGGACAACTGGAAGTGGCATCCCCCACTGCTACTGTGAGAGGCTGAGGCCCGACCATCTCAGCTGGAGCACAGAAGAGGGCTACAGTCGAGCCATGCATGCTGATTTTGTTAGGGAAGCAAAAACACTTTTGTGCATCTGCAAGGAGTTTCTGCCTTTGGAACACATGAGCTTGATGGACTGACATTTGTGAGGTCCCCTTGTTCTGCTGTAATCCAAACCTTTGGTTTTCCTTTTTTTCATTTCAAATTACATCTACGCTAATCTGAAGGCCAGCTTATAGAACAAAAATGAACGGAGCCTCTAACATCAATTATGTGATTCAGAAAGGAATTATTGTTTGTCATCATCAGAACCAGCAGAGCTTAGTCTCCTACAGCTGTGTGGCTGGGCACTCTTTTGTTCCTATGCCTCTCCCCTCCCACCAGCTCCTCTCTCATGTGCCCTACAGTATGTTCATGCACAAAAAACGAGGTGCTTGTCATCGGTCATAGGCACATTTGCTCTTATTCAACTCTTGTTTCTAGCTATCTGCGTTTGTTAAATGTGTGCAAAGTTAATTATTTTTCGAGATGCTGTAGGATAAAGAAGGAAGACTCCAGATGTAGAAAAAGCAGTGCTGTATCAGATCCTGGTTAGTTTAACTTGGCATGGTTCCACTGACAGCTTTGATCCTGTGGGGATCACCACAGGGGAGATAACTGGGAGGCAAGACCTGGGAAAAACCCTTCTCCCTATTGGATCCTGTTCTTTGGGACATGTTCTACACCCATGAAACAGAGGAAGGGCTTTACCACCACCTTACACTTCTTGTATCTTTACTACTTACTACAGGATATGTCCAAACAGTGGGAAGAGCCTATCATTCTACCTAGGACCCAAAATTTAAGGCTATTTCAGAGATCCAGGAAGGTCTTGTGGCTGGTGGACATCATCCTGATCCAGGCAGAGGAACTGCAGGTTTGAACAGTAGGTGGTTACATTGGCTTGGGCCAGAGCTTTAAATCTAACCAACACATACTGAACTTGACCATTGTTCTCTGCAGGTGACAAGTAGACCCTGGTGGACTTAAGAGCTTTGGGCCAAGTCACATGGACTGGCAGCTGTAAGTAGCATGGAAGTGAACTCTGTTCGGTCACAGTTGTCTTCCTTGCAAATTTGCTGCAATTAAACAGCAAATGAAGTACCTTAAATGAAGACCATTAATTTAGGTTTAATAAGAGCATTAGGTTAAACACAAACCATCTGATCACTGAAGACAAAATGCACTTGCATTACACACAGTACTGCCTCCCTTGACTGGGGGCCAGCACCTTCAGGTTTGCTCTAAGGGAAAGCAGAGTTAGGTAAGAGCAAACTGAATATGACAGTGTTTCTAATTAATTTTTATCCATTTGACCTGGATGAAGAGACGGAGTGCTGCCTCAGCAAGTTTGCTGATGATACCAAACTGGGAGGAGTAGCCGA